GTGATAGTAATAGTGTCAGACAGGATCAGCACCGGAAAGAATAGCTGATCTCCCCAGAGTGAGCAAAGGGCCAACACCCCGTATGAAACTCGGCTGTGAGCTCCCCGTGCTGTTGAGACTGGCTACGAGTGGGGATGCTCTCCCACAGCAAATTCCTCTTAGGGTCTGGCTCTTCCCTCCCCAGGAGTCCAGTTGCATCATCAAGTGAGCTGGGTCTCCTGAGCCACTGACCACTGCCAGGCAGTCTGACTGGAACTGGTGGGAGAGAAGGGCCCCATACATTTGGACTGCGTGCTGGCTGATTTTATGACAATGTAAGCCAAGGTAGTCATCTGAAAAGAGGTGACACCAATTGACAAAAGGCCTCCAAAAGACCAGGCTGTAAGCAAGCCCATCAAAAGACATTTTAAATGGTCTTTTAAACTAGTTGACAAAAAAGAAGCAAACATTGTTTTTTTTTTTTTTTTGGCTTCTCGATTATGAATTCAGAAATGAGATTAGGTTTGGGGTTGAGGATTTAGAACCTTGGACCAATTAATGATGTAGAGGAGGCTTAATTGTCTAGCTACAGTCGGTGGGCACTTATCTCCATCTTGCCATGACTGACCAGCAGCTGGAAAAGGCTCCATCTGTGGGCACGAGACTGAGGCCACACAAATGACAGTTGAATAGCACATGCACGTGGATAAGCCACATGATTAGTCTATCCATTCTATCCATGTTGCCCAAGGACTTTTTTTTTTTTTTTTTTAAGGCAGGATCTTGCTATAAAGCCCAGGCTGGTCTTGAACTCTCGATCATCTTCTTGGTCTCCTAAGTGCTGAGATTACAAACATGTACCTCCACACCCAGTGCATTCACAACCAGAAACTGTTTGCTTTGCATTTTTTTTCTTAAGTGCCTTCCAAAGTCTATAAGCAGATGCTGCTGCTGCAGCTATGATTCTCATAGATAAGTTAGACGAAGACACTGGAACTTTGGGCAAGTTGCTCTATAATGACATTTAAATCACAACAGGTACCCAGTGAGCCTTCAGCAGGACTAATATGAACCAACTCCTGGCAGCTAGCTAGATGTGTGACTTCTCCTTGTGGCTCTGGTACTCGGGAAGTCAAGGTAAGAGGATCACTGCTAGCACAAGGCTAGCCTGGGCTACAGAGTGAGTTCCAGGCAAGCCTGGGCTACAGACTGAGAGGCTGTGACAAAAATCAGAGTAAATACTGGCAGCAACAAGACTGCTAAGCTCTAAAACGGGTGAGCTCTAACAAAAGCATTGCTATTTTAAAAGGCTATCGCCGATTCTTTCTTCAAATTTAAATCTAAGTTCCTCAAGCCACTTTTTCCTTCTGAAAAGCTAACAAATTAGAGACAGCCAGTTTGCAGCTGGTCAGTTAGACCATATCCCCTGGTTAGAGTTCTACCAAAAGCAGTGTTAAGACATCAGCTGCTCTGTTCATCCTTCCTTGGCCTCTGACTGCAGAAGCCTCGCTCTAAACGACTGGGCTTACTGGGGATTGGTTCTTTGGGAACGTCTGCCGTATTCATTATTTTCCCCCTCACTGACCAAACATCTAAGAGAGCAAGGGTCTGTTCTGGCTTACAGTTTGAGGAGACCCCACCCACTGACAGTGAAGCATTATGCAGCTGGTCACACTGGCTCAGTGTCTCGGTTACTACCCTACCATGATAAGACGCCATGACCCTGTGGTTTCAGAGGGTTAGAGTCATGACCACCGCGGCAGGGAGCATGGCGCTGGAGCAGCAGCTGAGAGCTCACATATTGAGGCAACAACCGTGAGGCAGAGCGAGCCAACTAGGAATGGCACGGGCGTTTGAAACCCCAAAGCCCACCCACCCCAGTAAGGCACTTCCTCCAACAAGGCCACACCTCTTAGTCCTTCCCAAACGCTTCCACCAGATGGAGACTAATCAACCAAACATGCAAGCCTATAGGTGCCATTCTCCTTCAGGCCGCAGTCAAGAAAGTGGGGCCAGCATACTTAACCCTTTAAGGCCTACCCCCAGTGAATGTTTCCTCTAGCAAAAGATCCACTTTCTAAAGGTTCTAGGGCCTTCAAATGCAGAGAAATGCACACAGACATGGCCTTTGGTCAACCTACACACTCAGTCAAGTACAGCCCCTGGACTAGCTTCTTTTTTTAGTAGTATTGTTACATCTTAGTTATTTCTGTGCATGTGTGGACACATGGTATGCACATAGAAGTCAAGAGACAGCCTAGAGGAGTCAAGTCTCTTTTTCCACCAAGTGGGTCCCAGGGATTGAACTCAGGCTCTCAGGCTTATCGAACAGGCACGTTTACCTGCCGAGTCACCTCACTGGCTCCCTGACTTAGCTTCTTAACTTCTGTAAAACAATGGCAGTCCTGTTTCTTCTCTTTGGATGATTTTTAAATGTGCAGATATATCCTTAATGCATTATACAAAGTAACTGCACTTGGGCAGGCCTTCTCTGCAGAAAGCAATCTCTCTGCAGAAAGATGCTTGTTTTTCAAGACTGCATCTTACACTATAGCCCAGGTTAGCTCGTAATTCACTATGTATTCTACATGTCAGTCAACTTCAGTGCATGATGTGGGAAACCTACAAAAACTCCCCACATGGTGCAGCGAAGCTTGTTTGGCTCCCAGGCGCTGTACATCACAGAGCTGCAAGGCTCTGTCAGATCAAGGAGGCTTCCTGAAGCACAGCTAGTCACGTGTTTCGTGTATCAAACACCCAGGATGTTAACTGCCCTTACCCCCCCCCCCACTCCTGTCCTTCACGATTCGTTAACTGACAGTTCGGCGCCAGAATAGTGAGGACTGCCTTCCATCCAACACGACCTGAGTTCCCGGTGTTTATCCACCCTAGGAATGGCTATGCGGGGATGTAAAAACAAAAAGGACTGAAGAGATGTTTGGTTGAGTTCTGTCACTAAAAACAATAGCAAATGTCTCCATTGCCGGGTGCTTTTCCTAACAGATTGGAATTGACCCCAATCTAAGTGAATCTATCTGGGACTCAGAGCCACTAGTTAACCACAGGAGACAGGGAGTGGTGGCCACACCTTTAATCTCAGAACTTGGAGGAGACAGACAAGATATGGTTGGGCAGAGAGAGGAATATGGGGCAGGAAGACACTGAAGTTCTTGGCATTCAGTCTGAGTATTCCTAGGAACGGAACAGGATCAGTTTGAGGATTCGTGGAAACAGAATCTTGTCCCCTTCGTTCTGGGGACTCAGTAGAGGTAAGAACTAGAGGCTGGCTGCTCTGCTTCTCTGGTCTGTCAGAATTTACCCCATGTCTGACAAACTAGACAGTTCTAGTGGCCAGGCTAGACTACAGTGAGCCTTCTAACAAACTAGACAGTTCTAGTGGCCAGCTGTGGCACACACTTGTAATCACAGCTACTGCTCAGTTGACTAAGGACAAAGAATTGTGAGTTAAAGCTAGAATGGGCTACAGAGGAAGACAGGCTTTAAAAAAAGAAAAGTCCAGGCTAGAGAGCTGGCTCAGTGGTTAAGAGCCCTGGTTCTTCCAAAGGACCCTGGTTCAATCCCACATGGCAGCTCACAACTGCCTGCAACTCCAGTTCCAGGGAATCTGACACCCTCACACAGACACACATGCAGGAAAACAACAATATGCACATTTAAAAAATCATTTAGTAATTTTAAAGCTTTTACTTTGAAGACTCCCCATGGAAGGCCTCACGCTTCCTGGGGTGCAGAAAGGGAATGGGATGGGGGTTGGTTGGGGGGAACAGGGGAGGACGGGAGGGTGTGGGAACTGGGAGTGACATGTAAAACAAGCTTGTTTCAAATTTAAATTTTAAAAATTAATTAAAACAAAATTTTAAAGGTTTAAAAAAAAGTCCATATGCATTAGTTTTTAAAGAGACACATTAGAAAAAGACAAAATATAACAAATCATTAGAGCTGCCAATTTTGGGGCACTAAAGGCAGGTTTCTACATCTTTGTCTCTTCCTCCATCAATGACTAGTATTCGCCTCATCCCTCACTTGTCCGGTGATTATGACTCACATAAAGATACAAAGGAGGCTTGCAGAGATGGCACGTGCATGAAGAGTTGAGTTCAGATTCCCAGAAGCTACCTAAGAGCCAGGTGTGAACATGCACATGTCTAGCACATGTCTAACCTAAGAGCCAGGTGTGAACATGCACATGTCTAACCTAAGAGCCAGTGTGAACATGCACATGTCTAACCTAAGAGCCAGTGTGAACATGCACATGTCTAACCTAAGAGCCAGTGTGAAGATGCTCGTCTGTAACCCCAGTGCGAGAGAGAGAGAGAGAGAGAGAGAGAGAGAGAGAGAGAGAGAGAGAGAGAGAGAGAGAGAGTGTCTTGAGACAGTCTCTAAGGTTGCATTTCTTAGAGAGAGAGGGAGAGGGAGAGGGAGAGGATTTTGAGTCTCTAAGGCCACTTCTCCTGACATCCTAGATACACGCTGGGCGCTCCCTCTGTCCTGGTCCCTCCCTCTTCTCGGATCTCGCCCCATCGTCCGGAAGTCTCGCGGGAGGTGGAGGTCTCATGAATTCTCCCAGTAGCCCTTGCACTTCCTCTTCCTGTAGGCGGCCTGAGGTGAGCGTTACTCGGCATCGGGCTCCCGGGGCTGAATCCTCCGTCATCGGCGCCATCGTGGCCTCGGGGTCGCCGGCGTGGCGACCCCGGGCACCCGAGCTCCCAGGGCCATGCGTCCTCGCCACGGCGGCCGCGCTGCGTGCGGAGGGGCTCGGCGGCGCGAATGGCCCGGAGCCCGCCCTGCTCCCTGCCGGCTCGCGCGGGGCCCTGGCGGCGCGGGGCGGGCGTGGGGTGCGGGCCGCGCGGCCGGCGGAGCCCCGGCGCTCCCCGGCGCAGTGCGGTGCCTCGGGCGGCTCGTGGCCTGGGTACGTGGGGAGGCCGCGAGGTCGGGGCGAAGGAGGGGTCTGCAGATGCGCGGCTGCGGGCCGCCACGCCGGTGCATCGAGGGGACGCTGGCTGCGATGATGCCGTTTCTTAGGACACCTTTGGATTGGCCGTGAAAACAACTCCTTTCTGAGCAGCTGCGGGGTCGTATTTAATAGGTGCTTAGGCCTTTTCCGTTACCAGCTGACTGACGGTCATGTTAATGTCCCCAGGTGACCGGTGAAGATGGTTCGCTACTCCCTCGACCCAGAAAACCCCACGAAATGTAAGTGAAGCAAACGGTTTCGATTGGGTGGGTGGGTTGGTTGGGTGTTTCTGGCGTGTTCGGAACGCAGCAGAGATGGACCTTTTTTCCCTTTTGTGTATTCGTAGCATGCAAGTCAAGAGGATCGAATCTTCGGGTTCACTTTAAGGTAAGGAAGTCACCCACGGTCATGGCATCGAATCCTGGTTTGCTCCTGCCTGCATGTGTTTATAAGGTGGCGGCAGTGATGTCTTTCTTAGGACACCTTTGGATGTACCGTGAAAATAAAATACATTCTGAGCAGCCACCTTATTTACGTGTTTGTCATCCGGTGTGAATGCTTGAGGAACTGCAAATAATGGGGCTTAGATAATTTGCTGTGAATTCATCTCCTGATTCTCAAAACACTATTAACCAAAGCTTTCTGGCTTGTATTAGAACACCCGTGAAACTGCCCAGGCCATCAAGGGCATGCATATCCGAAAAGCCACCAAATACCTGAAAGATGTCACTTTGAAGAAGCAATGTGTGCCATTCCGGCGGTACAATGGTGGAGTAGGCAGGTGTGCCCAGGTGAGATGTCTTAAGTTACTGTTGGAAACTACGAGGAGGGTGGTGGATGCTAAGGGCTGCTTTATCGGTCTGGTTGCTGTGATGACGATCTTAGGACACCTTTGGATTAACCGTGAAATAAAACATGTTCTGAGCAACCTTAGTGATGGCAGTAAGTTCTTAATTGGGTCTAATGCTAATTTACCAAGGAAAGTAATAAACTCCATCTTTTCCTTTCAGGCCAAACAGTGGGGCTGGACACAGGGTCGGTGGCCAAAAAAGAGTGCTGAATTTTTGCTGCACATGCTTAAAAATGCAGAGAGTAACGCTGAGCTTAAGGTACCTGAGCCATTATCTTTGGTGTGCATCTTGAATCACTTAGATGTGTATCCTTGAGTATCCTATGGGGAGTGGATGTGCATGCCTTTTTACTTATACATCCCAGAGAGAAGACAAGGGTTTAATTAAGGTCAGCCTGGACTACACAGTGAGAAACTGTCATTTAAAAGAACCAAGACAGCACTTTTGTCTTGGGTCTCCAGTATGACAGAATTTTTGCCTAGATGCCCTCAGAAGCTTGGCCTACTGTTTCCTGATAGAGTTCTGCAAAGGGAACATTTTTGATGGCCTTGGGGGTTTGTATCTTAAAGATGAGTGCCATGCCAACCATTGTGTGGTATCAGTCAGTCCAAAAGAAACATTTTGCATAATGCCACCATGCACCTTTTGGATAGTGCTGGCCTTAGTGGTGTGGTTTATTGACAATGTTGGCAGCGAAAGGAAATATTGACTTTTGGATTTTTTTTTTTTTTAGAGTAGATAACAGTGTCTAGGAGTAGGGTGACTATTAACTCTTGCATTGGAAAACTTGATTTTAGTTCTTTATAGTAAGGTTTACACTTTAAGATAAGAAAAATAGTGTTGTAAGAGGTCAGGAGAGTGGGCAATAAAATAGCTCATGTAACATTTGCAGCCTTCTCTTAACTATAGACAACATGTATTTAATGCACTGAGTTTTATGAAACGGAATGTCTTAATGCCTTGTATAAGGGTTGCCTTTCACAGATGATGTAAAGATGGGTGTGAGAATTGGCTACCTCACACACAGTGTGGCATTGCTTAGACAATTCAAACAGAAGTAGCAAAGTGGTTGTTACACAAGAGACTGGAGGGTTTTTCTAAGCAGGTGTCTGATTTCTCCTCTCTCCAGGGTCTAGATGTCGATTCTCTGGTCATTGAACACATCCAGGTGAACAAAGCACCTAAGATGCGCCGACGAACCTACAGAGCGCACGGCCGGATTAACCCATACATGAGCTCCCCCTGCCACATCGAGATGATCCTCACGGAAAAGGAGCAGATTGTTCCAAAGCCAGAAGAGGAGGTTGCACAGAAGAAGAAGGTGAGACACTGGTTTACTGTGTGCGTTGCTTGAAGCTCAAGTGGGTGGTGATTTGATGGCTCTTGGGGAACAGACACCTTTGTAATAACCATGAAAGGAACCTATTCTGACCGGCCTTTTACCCACTTGGATGTGGCTTCTATATGGCATAACACTGCAGTTACCTTAGCCACACTTAAGATACTTCTCTTTACAACTAAATAATTTGACTTTTGGCACACTTTAAATGTTGTCATTTGTCCTTAATCCTCTGGCAGTGGTTCTTAACCTTCCTAATGCTGTGACCCCTAACCATAAAATTGATGGGTTTAAGGGCTCACGGCTTGAGAAGCGCCTGTAGTGTTCATTCACCAGTTGAGCTTTTCCTGTCTTCGATGTGAATTTAAGTCCTTCAAGAATTAATGTAGCAAACTTAAATGGTTCCTTTCTTTTTGTCTCAGATATCCCAGAAGAAACTGAAGAAACAAAAGCTTATGGCACGGGAATAAACTCAGCGTAAAATAAATGCAGATGAAAGTAAAGGTCTTCTGGTCTTCTGTATAAGCAGTTTCAGATTGCCTGCTGATCAACCCTGTTGGGAGGGGATGCTTAACATACTGCAGAGGTTTATTAAAGTGATGAAGCTGTGAAACACTGCAAACAACAGCCATAGTTTTACTGAATTAGCATTTACTGGGGAACTGTTGTGTAAGACTTGGATTAAGACCCTGGGTGTGAGTCTGTCTTTAAGTTAATGTGTTAGTGCTCATTTCAGACTTGTTTAACATCTTAATTATTTGGGAGGGGAACCATATTGAACTGTTTTCTGTCATCAGTGACTTGGGAACAGCTGTTTTCAGTGACCTTTCCTGGCCTCTGAGGGCAGCCCAAACAGGTGTGCCCACTTTTTTGAGCCTGGAGAGCAGGGTCTGCAGTAAAGACTTCATTTGCATACTGTTCCTGCAGAGGACCTAGATCACCTCTGAACTCAAGCTCTGGGGCCTCTGATAACCTCTTTCAACTAAAGTACAGTATATACACAGGGAAGATGAATCTCAAGTTTTATAAACTGACATTACAGGGACTGTAAGGAATCTGATATTGGCCACCCAAGTAGCTAGGGCTTGACTTAAGTCTGTTGGAATTGTAAATTTGAAAGTCATGCATTTCCTAACTAGGAAGTGGTTGCCTGTCAGTACTGCACCAAGCTATTTTCTATATACATTTGTCTCTTGTGCACTTTAATGAATTAAAAGATCCATGTGCCCCTTTCCAACTGTCTTTGAAAGCATGTTTTCGGGGGTTGTGTCTTAAAAGCATGGACAAAAGGAATGAATGGTTCTGGTGAAACTGCCGAGCCTGACCCCTGAGTTCGCTATCTACCAACACCGACTGGTGCAATGCATGGGATAAATACAATTTGTTCAACATCCAGCACATTTTGCTGCAACATTGGTAGTTGCTATGAGCCTTTAATATAGGAGGCCCTGTAGGAATAGTTGGATTTCTCTTTGGTATATTCCCAAGTGGTAAGGTAACAACCTCAGTAATGTTTGTGTCAGGCATTGCCAAACGGCTTTGAGATAGTTTACCCTATGAATCCCTGGTGATCCTGGAACCAGGCTGGCCTCGAACCCTGCCTGTCTCCTTGGGTGCTGGCTTTTGCTACCACTACCCTAGTAGAGTGAGTTCCAAATCCATCACCTGAACAGCAGACTAGTAGGATGAAATGGTTAGGTTGGGTTGAGGGTTAGGAACAAATAGTTCTTAGTTATACATTTATTCTAGCAAAGGTCTGTAAATGTGCCAGGCTTTGGGGTGCACAGAACCCCGTCTTCTAGGCGCACAAGTGGTTTCAAGACCAGTCTGAGCATTTCATACGTGAAGACAAGAGACTAGCAAATCAGTCAGAGAATATTCCTGCTAGGGTCTTTCCTATAACTGTTGGGTCCCCTGCAGCCCAGCAAACGTTTCTCCCTGATCAGCTAGGCTGCGAGTCAGGTGCCTGGGAAACCCAGAGCAACGCACAGCACCACCTTCCCCGCCCCGCAGGCGCAGGCCCCCGCAGACTCCGGGAAGGCGGCGAGCTCTGTACGCGTCATCGTTACGTTCTGCGCGTCCCCTGTCTGACGTATCCGCCTTTGTCAGCTCCTCGACGTACCATTGGCTGTTAGCAGCCTAGCCTCCCGGAAGTGCGGACATTGCGCTGGGCGTCTTGGAGGTGGCGAATGAGCTTTTAGTGGTGGTGGAGCTCGCGCGTCAGGGTCTGTCAGCGGCGCTGTCCCACGGCGTGGCGTCCCGGACGGTGCTGCGCGGTGCCGGTAGCCTGCCCTCGCCTCGCCTCGCGTCTCAGCACCGGTCTTCGTCCATCGACCTCGGTGGCCCTCCATCCATCCCTGCTTCCCTGCTTCCCTGCTTCCCTCCTTCCCGTGGCGGTTTGGATCTCATTCCTGGACCCGCTCGGTGAGTGCCCCTCCTCTCTGCGCCGCTGGCTCCTGTTGCCTCCCTACTTTTTGCTGGTTGTCTATGATTTCCCTTGTAACTCTCGGTTCCTTCAAGGGAGATGACTTCACGACTCTGCTTATGCTGTTCTGGTGGATCCCTAGCCCTTTCCTCCCTCGCTTCCATTGTCCTTAGATCAAGTTGAGTGAAAGATTCCATTTTGCTCTTAGATAACTTGGATAATAGTTAAAATGGTAGTCTACCTTGCTATCTTCTAGGCATTGCCACCGCAGTTTCTACAGCGTGAAATAAAACATCTATTCAAAACAAAGTTACTAGGATTGAGCTTTCTACTTAAGAGGTCCAGTTTTCTTTTTTATTAAATCCATAATGTTTTTTATCATAGTGGTGGTGCACGCCTTACATCTCAACACAAAGGAGGCAGAGGCCGGTAGATCTCTTAAGTTCAAGGCCAACCAAGGGTATAGTGAGACCTTGTCTAATAGTAATAAGGGTGTAGTTACTGGTGCGGTTTCTTAGGGTTTTATTTAGAGCACAATGTGTAAGAATTTATAAACCACTAACTACAAGTAACATACAAATGGCCAAGTTGGATGGATAGGAAAGGGACCGAAGAGCTGTCGGATTCTCAAATAACTTTTTTTAATTGGGAAAAAGGTAAGTGGGATTAAAGGCATGACCTGACATTCCTGTCTGGGAATTCTGGTTGTGCACAGGTTCGATGTTTTGAGTTCTCTTCCACCAGTCTACAGCCCCAGCCCCTGCCAACACCCACTCAGGATTTCCCTAAATTCCTAAATTGTTCCTACAGACCTTGAACTGATGATGTGTAGCCCAAGCCGATTTATGTTACTCAGATCATGAGCCTCCCAAAGAGTTGGAATCAGAAGCCTAGCCATTTGTTTTGTTTTGTGACATTGCTATTTCATATTACAGCTGCACTGTCCATATGCATTCTTGTATGCTGGGTGCTGTCATCGTCTTCATTTTCTTATGAGGGAGTTAAGGCACAGTCTGGTATTTTTTTTTTTTCCGAGACTGGATTTCTCTGTGTAGCTTTGGAACCTGTCCTGGAACTCACCCTATAGACTAGGCTGGCCTAGAACTTGAGATGCGCCTGCCTCTGCCTGCTGAGTGCTGAGACCAAAGGCATGTGCCACCACAGCCTGAAAACTAATTTTCTTTTTAAGATTTATTTATTTATTATGTATACAGTGTGCTGTCTTCATGTATGCCTGTAGGCAGGGCACCAGATCTGGTTACAGATGGTTGTGAGCCACCATGAGGTTGCTGGGAATTGAACTCAGACCTCTGGAAAAGCAGCCAGTGCTCTTAACCGATAAGCCATCTCTCCAGCCTCTTAAAATTTTTAGGGATTACTTTGGTAAACTCTTAAATTATTTTGACTAGAATTGGCTTAGTCCTTTACACAATACCTGGTCATCCCTTGATATAAATTTATCCTAGCTTGTAGTTTTTGCTTTAAGAATCATAACAAATCCCTTCTCACTGTGTAGCCCTGATTGTCCTGGAACTCCCTAGGTAGACCAGGCCGGCTTCCAACTCATAGACATCAAATGCTGGAATTAAAGGCAGGTACCACCATGTCTGCTGGTGTATACATGTAAAATCTGTAGAACATCCAATCTTTCTGGTTTCATCATTATTTCATTATTACCATTTATTTATTTGGTGTATGTGCGCATGGAGAGAACCACTCCATTGTGCTGTGTCGAGGTCAGAGGACAACTTGCAGGGATATACATAAAGTACCTAGCACATAGTGTCTGTGTCCTTAAAAGTTCCTTTATTGTGTTTTTATCTATAGTGTGGGCATACCCACGCCGCTGTGAGCCTGTGGAGGTTGGAGGTCAGAGGGACTGGAGTTGGTGCTGGGTATTCAACTTAGGATGTCAAGCTTGGAGCCAGGCACCTTTGTCCCCTCATCTGTCATTTGCCACGAAGTCTTTGAGACAGAGCAGTGATTGGAAAGACCTGGATGCTGACAGCTCACTATTTGTGTTTACTCACCTGTCCCTTTACCTGGCAGATAGTAGCACGTTGGCTTAGAAACCTTAGCTTTCAGCAGATGTGTTTGGTACATACCCCCTCCCCCGTGTAGGAGTGCTTGCCATAAAGTCTTGCTGCTGCTGATCTGTGATGAGCTGTTTTTCTCTCTGTTCGTGTCAGCAGTTTAGGGACTCGGGCCTGGGACAATGGTGTGCATTCCTTGCATCGTCATTCCAGTTCTGCTCTGGATCTTCAAAAAGTTCCTGGAGCCGTACTTATACCCTCTGGTTTCCCCTGTGGTCAGTCGTATATGGCCTAAGAAAGCCATACAAGAATCCAATGGTAAAAATATAGGCAAAGTAGACTGCAAGGTAAGTCCCTGCAAGTGCTTGAGGAAGGGCGGGGTGGAAGGGTGGCGTGTGGGTAACCAAAGCCCTTGACTTTTGGAAGAGTGAGCTTCTAGAATTGGTAGCTTTAAGTTTATTGTCTCTGTTTTCAGTAATTTAGTAATGAGATTTTTAAACAGGCTTCTGAGTAGTCTTCTCTTTTGCCTGTGGCTTTGGTTGAGGGTCTTACTTTCCCCCACCTGACATGGGGATTGAACCCAGGACTAGGAGCCCACCACGTCAGCGCTCCCCCACTGAGCTACAGTCCAGGCCCAGTGTGAAGGCTGTTTTAAAGTGAATGTTTAGATCACTCCTATCCTCTGCATTGGTGTCTGTTGCATTGACTGTACAATTGTGTTAATTTAATTAACCTGGATAATTCTGGAAACAGAGTCATTTCTTCCTGAAGTTTATTGTCTGCTTTCACAAAAGAATGGCTCAAAATCAGTGCCTTTTCGTTACAATAATTCTTGATTTTTGTTGTTGTTTTCATTTTAGGGTGCAGATACCAATGGATTACCCACAAAAGGACCAGCAGAGGTCTCTGATAAAAAGAAAGACTAGAGTGGTTTCCCTGAAAGCCCCTGGCTGTTTTGAAATGGACCCAATAACATGAAGCACCTTCTTTGTCTCTTGATTTTTGTTCTCTGAGACCAGGAATCTAGATAAGCAGTTTAGCTATCCACTTGCTACTGATCAGGAAGTACATGGCATTTATATTTAAAGTGTAAGTAGTTATATTTAATGACCTCACCCTGAGTTTCTTCTTCATTAAAGTAGCTTTTGTTTCTATTACTCCATTTTACTAATATGAATAAACAGAAGGTTTGTGTGAGCAGACACTCGGAACATGGAGCGCTTGGGCCTTTTCGTTGTTTCACACAACTGTGACTGCTGTTTCCGCTTCCTATGGGCTCTGGTAACTTGAGTGAGATGAGTCTTGCTGCACAGCAGCCAGTCCAGTCCATGGTGAGAAGTTTGAAAGAGATCATAATGGAGAGCTTATGCTTAAGAATACTTACTGCTCCAAGTTAACTGGGAAAGAAGGAACCAGGGGAAGCTTCTTTGAAAAAAATGTAACATCAACATCGGTGTCAATCACATAAATTCTAATTCTGCTATACTTCTGTTCCTGCAAATGCATTAAACATTAAGTTTAACTCGGCTTCTCTGTTTCTTTTTTTCTTTTCATATTTGAAAGTAGCTTTTTAAAAAGACCAGGCCCACAAAGCAGAATCTTAGGGCTGCGGTGGCATTGAGATAGTGGTTAAGCAGAAATCAACATTCCACACTGAATCCCACAGGAGGGATTCGACTGCCCTGATTTCGCCTAAAGCAGCTAGGCATGTGGTCTTGGGCTTCGTTAATTGAATGATGGTGGGATAAAGGCAACCACATGCCTGAAGACTGTATCATGGGGCCGAGGACTCCAAGGTCAAGCCTGGCCTTTGCTGAATTTGTGTCTATTATCAGGAACGCATGTCAAATTAAAAAATACAAAAAACAAACAAACAAACAAAAAAACCCAAAGGCCCAGGTGGTGGTGGGCCCAGGTGGTGGTGGCACAGGCCTTTAGTTGCAGCACTCAGGAGGCAGAGGCAGGCGGATCTCTGCAAGTCCGAGGTCTATGGAGCGAGTTCCAGGACAGGCTCCAAAGCCACAGAGAAACCCTGTCCCAATAAATAAATAAATAAATAAATAAATAAATAAATAAATAACTATGCAAAACATGTTATCGATGTGGCCCAGTGACAAAGTGTTTGCTTGAACTGAAGCACTGGGCACACCTCAGCACTGGGCATCCCTCCTCTCAAATGGAAGCAGAGGGTGGCCTTGAACTTGTAGTCTTCCGGTCACTGCCTCCCAAGTGCTAGGGTTATGGGTGTGGCCTGTCGGTCTCTGACAACATTTGGTAAGATGTTCCAGTCAGGTGGTCACTGCAAGCTGCTAGCCACGCCCCCTGCTTCCTTCGTGGGGTCTGTGTCCCTTCGCTGGCTTCAGCTGCTGTGTAACTGATACCAGCAGTCCACTGGGGGCTGGATTCCCCCATCGTGTCAGTACCCATGTCCTTCCCGCCCCTTCCTCATCTGCAGAACCTTTCCTGCCCCTGTTCCTCGGCTTCTTATCCTGGCGTCCTTGGGGGCATTGGCTGTGTCTGTCACAGGCTGGTGTCTTTATGTCATAACCCTCCCATGGTGCCTTGTAAGACATTGCTAAAGGTTTGGGAGTAGAAACAACTGTAATAACTTAGAAAGGACCAGATGCTAACTCACCAAATTACAGGCATTTCTTCCCGTGACAGTTTAGTGTTCTTTGAAAGGCAGTTTCAGACCTTTTAAAACACCTAGTGACTCTGGGTAAGCTGTCCTCCAGGAAGGCCCACACCACTGCCTCACACACAGAAAGTACAAAAGCCACAGGATAATAGAGGTAGGTCATAAGACAAGTAGTTCACGCTGCTGGCCTCTGGGACATTCATTTTACTGAATGAGACTAGCATCATCATAATATTGAGAAGTTAAATCCTCTTGTAAAACATGACTAGGGAGATGTCTCGGCATTGGCTACTCTCCCAGAGACCTAGGTTCAATTTCCAGCACCTGCATGGTGGCCCATAGTCATCTGTAACTCCAGTTCCAGGGAATCTGATGCCTTTTTCTGATCTTCTCAGGCACCAGACATACAAGTGGTGCACAGAATACATGCAGGTAAAACACCTGTATACATAAAAATAAAGTTTAAATTTAAAACATGATCTAATGTGATTGAAATAAAATTTTACCTATTTCGGTTCAAGGTCTCGAATAACTAGATCTAATCACTCCACACCACATGCAGTCTATTTTCTCAAATCTTTACCTAGATTATTTGTAAAAAGTGTTAGAGATTGACTATGCCATCTCTGGGAGGGATCCCCTGTAAATACCATCACCCTGGGATTTAAGTTCTAATGGGAAAATTTTGAAGGGACACATATGTTGAAACCATAACATACCTATTCTGAAATGTCCTCATGACTATTCTATGATCAGTACAGATGGACATGTTTTTATTTTATGTGCATTGGTGTGAAGGTCTGCTAGAAGAGCAGCCTGTGCTCTTTAACAATTGAGCCATCTCTCCAGCTCCCCAGCTGAACTTTTTAAAAATGATCCCAGGCTTGTAGCTGATGTTTGTTTTGTTTTTTGCAGTCCTCAGGACTGCACCTAGAGCATTGCACATTCTGTCCCAGTTAGGGTTATAGATGTGTTCCACCAGATCCAGCTGCTGTTGCCTTTGGGCATTCCAGTTTCCTCTAAGTTGTTTTTGGTGACACAGCAACAGGGAAGAACAGGACAGCTGGGGACAGTTTTGGTGTTGCTTGCACAGTAGAAAATTAGAATGTACTTTTGAGCAGGTGATATGTTTACAAGGCACAGGAGAATGAACAAAGCTTTCTCCTCTTGTTGGGCTTTGGTTTTGTTTGTTATCTTTTGTTGAGACAGTCTTCTCTGAGTAGTCCCTGGCTGTCCTGGAATTCACTCTGTAGATCTGGGTGGCCTCAATTTGGAGATTCCCCCTGCTTCTTTCTGCCTCCTGAGTGCTGGGATTAAAGGCATATGTCACCTCACCCAGCTAAGAGACAGGGTCTTAAGTAACCTAAACTGGCTTTGTAGCTAGCTGAGAATGACTTTGAACTCCCGATTCTCTTTCCTCCAACTCTCAAGTGCCAGGGTTACTGGTGTTTGCCATCACAGTTGGTTTTGAACTTTCAATTCTGCTACCTCTACCTCCTAAAGAAAACATGTATCTTGAAGATCACTGGATGTTATAAAATAAATGCATGATTGAACCTAATAATAGACCATTAATGTATATGGAGCAAACACTGAAAATATTGGAACACAGGTAAATGATCCTGCAGTAATAGCTGGAGGTCCTAGTACCGGCTCATCTAGATGCAGCTCAGTGGTGGAGTGTTAGCCCAGCATGTACTGAGTTTGACCCCCAGCACCACCAACCAACCAACCAACCAACCAACCAACCAACCAACCAACCAACCAGTAAACCCTACCATCTATCTTTGATAGAATAATAAGATAGGACATAGAAGACTTGAGCAACCCAGTGAGCTGCCTAGTGCTTTCCAATATATAAGACATCACAAATTAAACCAATAATTTAAAAAAATGACAGCTGTCATGCACAATACACTCTCTGACCAAAAAGGGGAAAGTAAAACACAAAAATCACAGCATTGGCATACTATCAACTAGGTAAATGCAGTGGGTATTTGTGTGAGTTCAAAGCCAAGGTGATTTGATGTCTTTGGGAACTATTTATCCCTGAGAGGCTGTAGCAGTATTTAGTATTACTTGTGGAATAACTATCTATGTTGATTCAGAGGAGTTTTGTTTTCATGGGGGGGGGGTAGATGTTCCTTTATAAATACAGATGCAAATTCCATTATGAAGAAGTTGGTGGAGATTTGATTCTGCTAATTTCAACTAGCTAACTTTCAAAACCTATTTGCTTAGAAGCCATCCCTTTGGGGCTGGACCCTAGCTAATGCCAGCTGTTCTTTTCTTTCACGGTAATTGAGCACATTTTGAATGTGTATAAAGCCTGCAGCTCCAGAAGTCCTTAAGCATCACCAGATCAGGACCAAGTCTAGCACAATGCAAACAATTCTCGACTGTTATCTTTGTCCATTTGGCTTGACTTAGAATCACTTGGAAGATTGAGACATACCCCTGTGTGTTCCAGGTGTTTCTGGAGGGGATTAATTGAGCCTTGGATTAACTGAATAGGATTAACTGAATTCTTGACCAGAATGTGGATGGCTCCATTCCATGGATTGAAGGGCACAAAGTTTTTTTTGTTTTTGTTTTTTTTTTTTTTTTTTTCTGAGACAGAGTTTCTCTGTGTAGTCCTGGCTGTCGGAACTTGCTCTATTGACCAGGCTGGTCTTGAACTCAGATCTGCTCACCTCTGCCTTCCATGTATTGGCATTAAAGATATGTATCACAGTATAAAAGAGGAAAGGGAGAAAGAAGATAGCATCTCTTTGCTTTTTGGCTGGATAGGGAAACAGATATGAGCCACTGTATCCTGATTCTTTTTGTTTGTTTTTATCCTGTGTAACAGCCCTGGCTGTCCAGGAACTCACTTTGTAGATCAGGCTAGCCTCGAACTCAGAGATCCTCCTATCTCTGCCTCCTGAGTGCTAGGATTAAAGGCATGCGCCACCATGGCCAGCTTATTTTTCTTTTTATATGCTCCTCTTCTCTCCGTGTGTGTGATCTTTGTGTCTGAGTATATGATGTGTGAGCATATGTCAGTGTGTGTGAATGCAGGTAAGCATGTATGGTATGTGTGCTGTGGGTTCAAGACTCCAAATCAACCTGGAAAGACACAAAGATTCCAACAAGCAAGAGTTATTACTGGGCTCTACAGGAGCTGATAGATCAGGGACCACAGACAGACTTGGGAGCTGACTGCACCTCCCAAACGTTCACTTCAGCAATCATTTAAGCACAAACCCCACAAACAGCTGTGCAAAGTTACAGTTACAACCCATGTGTCCCCCCATTGTTCCTCACACAAAATGCGAGCCATTCAGTCCAACCAATCAGATTCAATTCATTTGTTCCTTCTGTTGTTAGGAACAGCCACAATGGATTTTCTATTTCTTATTTATTTATTTGAGAACTAAAGATAAAATACAGACTATTGAGAACTAAAGATAAATTACAGACTATTCCTGTTATTTAAAGAGGAGGCTGGTTGGCAATTGGAAAGTCTCCAGCTGCCCCAGGGCCTGGGAACTTGAACTTTGTTGCTCTCTACAGGTAAAATGGAGTCAGAAGTCAAAATGGCGGTGCTCAGGACAAGGTGCTTGTTTGAGACACGGTCTCTTGTTTGCCATTGTGAGTTCCAGGTCAGCTAGTTCAGGTGCTTCTGTGGATTCTACCTCTCCATCCCTCCTCTCTATGAGTGCTGGGATTTCAACTATGTGCTACTGCACACAGCTTTACATGAGTCCCGGGGATTCCAACCAAGGGCCTCACATACATGAGCATCTTATCTAAGCCATCTCCCCAGCCCTATTTTTTGATGTTTTTAAAACAAGGTCAGCCAAGCGGTGGTGCTGCACACCTGTGATCCCAGCACCTGGAGGCAGAAGCAGGTGGATCTCTGTGAGCTCGAGGTCAGCCTGGTCTACAGACCTAGTCACAGGACATTCAAGGCTACACGAAAAAACCGTCTCATAAAACAAACAAACAAACAAATAAACACAAAGAGAATGACTCAGGTTGCTCAGGCCAGTCTTGAACTTCTGTATAGCCAAGGATGATCTTGATCCTCCTGACTCCACTTCCCAGCTGCTGGGATTACTGCTGTGAATCACTATGTCTATCATCACAAACATGCTTTCAAATAAGTAGACATCTATACCATTCTTTACACAATAGCTGGGCGAGCATGCCTTCCTCTTTTTGGCTAGATCCCCAGGCATCTTGTGTTGTAGTATGCTTTGCTGTTCTTCTGCAAGCTCAGTGAGTTTACTGGCAGCTGATATTGTAAAAGAATGTCTAAACTGGCAAAATGGCTCAGTGGAAAAAGGTGCTTGCCAGTCCCAATTACCTGATTTCATCCCAGGATCCATATGCGTAGGAGGAAAATCAACTTCCATTGTCCTCCATTCTCCACACTTGCTCCTCCCAATAAACAAATAGATGTAAAAGTAAAGTCTAATACTTGTACAGCACTTTACAGAGAACGTTGGCACATGGTAATTATATAATGGAAATAATAGTGATAGCTGTTTCATGGGGTTATTTAGAAAAATAAAAAATATGGGTGAATATCACATGGAAAACAGTCCATCATGTGAATGGTTATCATCATGTGAATGGCTGCTATTGTGTACATATTTTAGATGGGGACAGGTAAATAAATACGCAAGGATGTTAATTTGGTGACCTCAGGTCATTTGACTTAAAATATATTTTTCTATAAGACTGTGTTTCATGTAGCCTGGCCTGGCCTCCTTATATAGCATAATGACCTCCATCATTCAAATACTGGGATTACAGGCTCAAATTCCATACTATTTTGTTTTGTTTTGAGACAGGGTCCTACTATGCAGTTGTGGCTGGCTTGTCATTCGCTGTGCAGCCCAGGCTGGCCCTGAACTCATAACAATCTTCCTTTAGCCTCTCAGGCAAATGCCATACTCTTGGCACCACACAATATTGATTCTCATTCTGGTGGTACCCATCCTGATTATATTGCTGAAGGGTCTAGATTTTTCTGTTAAAAAAAAAAAAAATATATATATATATATATATATATATTTCAGTTCTTTAGAGCCCGCAAAAGATTCGACGTTGGTGTGGTTATCCAGCAGGAATTGACAGGGGCCATAATCTCAAATTACCAGTACAGGCGCTCTCGCTCCCAGGAACGTAGAGTCTGAGGCTTCTACACTTTGCCACGTGGCTATGTGGTTGCCCGGGAGACGCTAGGAGGCTGGACCGCCAGCAGGACCACATCTCCCAGAAGCCCACGCGGCCGGCGTGCCACGGGACCGCCTGCTGCTGGCTCGCGCCCGGCCGGCCGTTCAGTCCCTAGCAGCCGAGCGTCCTCAGCCGCTTCCCTCTTCTCACCGCACCCCCCGCGTCTCTGTACCGACATCTCTCGGGCCGGAGCGCAGCCGGAGGCGGGGCCGCTGATCGGCGGAACCATGGAGGCCTGAGGCGGCGTGCACACCCGGGCCGCTGTGCGCCCGCGCTCCCGCTTCCCTGCTGCCCTCCCTCCCTCCCGCCCGCCCGCCCGCGGCTGGGAAGGGGAGTCCGCGCCGCTGACTCAGGTGGGCTTCCCTGGCGCGGCACCGCCCCGCGGGGACGGAGACGGAGGTGATCGGCCGCGCGCCGGGCGGCTGCCGTCCCCGAAGGTTGGGCCGCCCCGGGCTGCGCTGTGCTCGACGGCCCCTCGGCGCCCGGGTGTGCAGAACCAAGTGAACCGGACCCCTGGCCGGCCCGCGGGGACCCAGGGGTGGCCGGAACGACGGGAGCTTCCGGACACTCAGCGAGGTTGGCCGGACAGATGGGCGTGAGATGGGCAGGGCGAGCAGTAGCGTGTTGCGCGTCTGACACCCACAGTTATACTGGCGATATCATTCTCTACTATACAATGCATGCTTTGGAAGTAAGCACTGAAGTGCAGCTCGCTAGCTTTCAGTCTGTTCACATGATCGTGCCGCCTTACAGCAATAGCACATTTTTTTTTTTTTTTAAACCTCCTCGAAAGAGATCTGTGCCCATTAGCAGCAAGGCGTTCCTACTCCCTCCTTCACACCCTGCAACCATCAGTCTATTTTCTGCCTTGTCGGATTTGCTTGAGTCGTTGGGTGTTAGCTGAACAGTGCAAAGGGGCCAGAGTGGGGTTTGAGGGAAGTGGAGTGATAAAGTACTAAAGATAAAGAAAGTACTAAGCAACCACGAAGGGATGTTCGTGACAGGGCTAGCAAAGACTGGGGACAGAGGAGTGGGACCCTTGAAGGTCTATTGAGGAGATGCTGGGCCGGGAGATGAGAAATGGGGGTGGAGGTGGTGGGTACCAGTGTACCCTTAGCAGAGCCAGATGCTGTGCCAGAGCTGCCGGCTCAGTCGAGGAAGACAGTCTGTCAAATAGGTTAATGGTAGCTGCCGAGGATGGAGTTCGTGGGTTTCTAGAACTACTGTCCAGCTCTGGAGTTTTCATTTTAGATAATATTGGCAACTCAAAGAAACTGGGTGAGGATGAATATCGTCATCTGGAAGATAAAGAGCCGGCATTGTAGAGGTTGTGGGGCTTGGTTACTCTTACAAAGTTAGTACTTAGGAAGAGTTGACATTAAAGTATAATTGATGAAACCAGCAGTTGCACAGAGAATTGACACAGGACAAGGTTATATAGGAAGGGGATTGAGCTGTTGAGAAGTCTGTGTTAGCCTGGCGGTGGTGACACACGCCTTTTATCCCAGCACTGGGAGGCAAAGGCTGGTGGATCTCTGTGAGTTCGAGGCCAGCGTAGTCTATAGAGTGAGTTCCAGGGCTAGCAGAGAAACCCTACTGGGAAAACCAAAAGGAAGTCTGTGTTATAGCATGTATGTTAAGCAGGATTTATTGTTTGTTCTGGTCAAAGTCTTTTTGCTTTGTGGAAAGTTTCAGACATAAGTAGAGCAGGGCTTCTCAGCCTTCTTACTGCTGCGGCCCTTTAATACGCTCCTCATGCTGTGGTGACCCCAACCCTAACGTTATCTTCATTGCTCCTTCAGACCTGTAATTTTAGTACTGTTACGAATCATAATATAAATATCTTTGTTTTCTAATGGTCTTAGGTGATCCCTGTGAAAGGGTCGTTTGACCCCCAAAGGGGTTGTGACCCACAAGTTGAGAACTGCTGGAGTTGTATAACCCAGTGTGATAGAAGCGTCGCCTGGCGTGCACAAGGCCCTGGGCTTGGTCTGCAGCACCATGAGGAAGAAAAAGAAGAGCAAATATTGAACTAAGATAATGTATTCTCACATGCCATTACCAGCTCTAACAATGCCAGTTTAGTTCCCTCTGTCTTCCTACCCATGTTCTCCCCATAGTTGTCTTAATCACCAGTTAGCACTTCAGTAATGCCTGCTGGAGATTGGTCTCCGTTACCCTCCTGTTAATGTCCGTATAGAACTACCAGCATACTTACAATATTACCATCCCTCAGTGCCTTCAGTATCTGGAAGGACTTTAGTTTTAAAAGGTGGCATCTTTTCCCATTTATTTACTTTCGCAGCAGGGGTACTGAGTGCCCTGCAGGGGGCATAGGGCTGGCTGAGAGCTGGGTCGCTGCTGTCCTTGGTAGCCATCTGAGAGGACCGAAAGTGCAAACACAGCACTTGATGGGACACTGTAGCGCCGTTCCACGGTGGAACATGGAATTTGGGGTGACCTGAGCCTGTGACCCCAGGCCTTGGTTACTCAAAGTGGGCTCAGCATAAACCCCTGTTCCCTCAAATAGCAAAAATCCAGAAAGTATCTCCTGCTCTTCCAGTGGCCCAATCAGTGTGGCTGGCTCCTCCTCTGTAAAACAGTGACATTGTGACATTGACCTCCTTTTGTTTGTTTGTTTCCTCCTGGTTTTGTTTGTTTTTTTGTCTTCCCTAAGACAGGGGTTCGCTGTGTAGCCTCCTCACTCTGTAGACCAGGCTCAGAGCTCCGTCTGCCTCTGTCTCCCGAGTGCTGGGGTTAAAGGCAGCTCCTTCGTTCACATAAGGGTCCGTGTGACTGGATTAGTTTCTTATGGATAACCCAGGGTAATTTCGCACAGTGTTGCTTGTTTTTAAGGAGGTTATTATTGCCACTATTGATTTATTCGTGAGTGTGGGGATGTGAGGTCTCTTGTGTCTGTGTGATAAGTACTTGGCTTGCTGAGTGCCTCCCCAGACTCCACTTTCTTTGTCCTTAATTTAGTCACATCTCTAAAGTCTCTCCACTTGCCTTGAACTAAAACATCTTATGCCGTAGCCTCCGAAGTGCTGGATTGCAGGCTTGAGCCGCCGTGCCTGCTTTTATGGCCTTCCCTCTTGGATTAACGTTATCTTGAGTTACACAGATGAAATGTGGACGCCTTTGGAGGCTGTTACTCTGCCGATCTCAGCATGCTTTGGGATATTGTTTAGTGACTTAAGAAACTGAGTTACTTTCTTTGCTACAAATGCAGCCAGAGTACAGAGAGTACAGTCTTTCTGTCGGGGTGCAGATGATGGGCTGGCTAGAGCAGGGAGGGCTTCCTTTGGCTTCTCAGTGACTGTAAACAAGTGCTGAGAAGTACCTGTGACACATGCAATGTCACCGTGGTAAATAGGAGCTTGAAAAGTGAGTAAGCATAAAGCAATCTAACACCGCGTGATGTTTCTCCTTCCTCGTTCCTTCCCCCCCTCCCTTCCTCTCCCTTTCTCCCCTCTCCCCTCCCCTTCCCTTCCATAATAGGGTCTGACTACATAGTCCAGGCTATGAATTTTGGTCTCTTTCATATTTATGTTATTAAAATGTTAGATACTTTTAATCAGAGCATTCTCTCTCTCCCTGTGTGTGTGTGTGTGTGTGTGTGTGTGTGTGTGTGTGTGTGTGTGGTGATGCTTGTTTTCATGTACAAGGTGAGAAGACAAGGATTCTCTGAGATACCCCTAATTCATCAGGAAAGGGAGGCGCTTGCCGAGTGAGAGAGTATTTATTTGCAGTTAGACTGAGCTGCTGGGACATTTGGACTTGAAGTTCTTTCTTAAGTACTATGACTCAGCTGCATATGGGTGAGTGCTGTGGGCCAGAAAGCAGAGTGACAAGGTGGCCGTTGTTGCTCTTCTTCCTGGGACAGAGGTGGAGAGGATTTGTGGAAGTCCTCTGGTGTGCTCATTGCTAAAGAGCTGTGGAAGTGTCCTGTCCCCTGGGTGAAGCACCTGGCTCTCTGATGGTGACATGCCTTTGTGTACTTTTTAACAGGGAAGTGATGGCAATTCTGTACATCTGCTCTTGTCTTCAAACTTATTTTCTCTAGTAGTGGTTTTGGGGAGGCAGGGTTTCTCTGTGTAGCCCTGGCTGCCCCGCTCACTCTGTAGACCAGGCTGTCCTGGAACTTGCTCTGTAGACCAGGCTGGCCTCGAACAAAGGACTCCACCTGCTTAGTGCTGGGATTAAAGGTGTGTGCCACCACCTCCCTGCATAATCTTTTATTTTTAAAATGATCTTAATTTTCTGAACTTAATGTGCTTGTTAATAATTTGTATGTTATCTTTATATTATTTGTTTCTGGGGCTGGAGAGATGGCTCAGTGGTTAAGAGCACTGGCTGTAGTTTATATTACTTATTTCTAGACTAAACTAATGGAGAGAATTGGAAACTATATATATGTATGTATATATATGTATATATATATATATACACACACACTTATCAGAAGGCTTAGTCTTTTAGAGTTTTGAAGTTTTTGCAATAATAATAATTATATTTTTTTGAGACAGAGTCTTACTGTATAGCTCCAACTGGCCTGGATATAGACCAGCCTGGCTTTGAACTCAGAGATTCTTAAGCCAGTGCCTCCCAAATGCTGGAACTAAAGTTGTGTGTCACCACGCCCTGCCAGTTTTATCAAATACTTTCAAAATAGTACTGGCTGTCAAATCTTTCCTTTGTCATAGGATTCTTTCTTTCTCTCTTCCTTCTTGTCTCTTTCTTCCCATTTCTCTCCCTCCCTCATTCATTCATTCATTCATTGTTGTTTTGAGACAGAGTTCTAAGACAGCCAGGACTGTCATTTGGTAGACCAGGCTGGCTTCAGATTCACTGAGATCCGCGCCTCTGCCTCCCAAGTGCTGGGATTAAAGGCGTGTGCCACCACCACCTGACTATGATAGTGTATTTCTTTAAAATTTTTTTTATGTTATGTTGGCTAGAGCATGAGATAGACCAACCACCCAATCTATAATCAATCATTTAGATGTCTGGCGATTGTTTTCTTTTTTGATGGTGCCCTGTTCTTGGTTCATGAAAAAATGTATTATAGAGATAACATGATGGGTGTAGTGGTTAAAGTAGAATGCATTTTGCACCTTACCTGCTTGGGTTTGACATCTCATTTGCCACTTTATGGTTCTGTAATTTTAGGTAAACTAGTTAAGCATTCTTTGCTTTGCTTTAGTTTTTTTTGGTCAAGAATTGGCAAGTATTGTAGTGTTTTAGGGTTTGTGGGCTGAAAGGCAAAATGAAAGGTATTTTTTAGGTACCTCTCTACTAAGAGAGAAGAATTTCTCCAAGTTTTTATTGAAATTTAAAATGCAATTCTGCC